AAATACAAATGAATCACCTATTGTAACTTTTGAAGGTACTAGTTGCCATGATAGTCTTTGGGATTGCTTACCTGGGGAGGCCTGTCCTCACTACAGTGGAAAATGCAAAATGAATGAGTACCATACTCATACACTGACAACCCCACATCCAACAGGATCTGACAGGTCATCACCCCTAACTGGAACTGGTCAGCAATAACCCATTGTTGTACTGAAAACAACAGCCTGGACCATAGTCCTATGTTCCCATGAACTTACCTAGGGCTCATTTCCTGCAGGAGTGTGCAGGAGCGGAGCTCCGGTAGTAAAGAGCCCAGGGGGTGGGCACATGCAACAAGCCCCACCCCTTGCTCCCAGCAGCCCTCATTTAGAGCAAGAAGCAGCCAGGTAAATTGCAGAGCCCCCCCAGCCCCCCGGCCCAAAACAGTCCAGTGGCACCTTTAAGACCAAGTTTTGTTCAGGTACAAGCTCTCCCTCCTCTGCAAGGACAGATCTGCACGCCCCCCCCAATAGCTAGCAATCCAAAACAGTTCACTGGAGCCTAAGTGGTGGGTGTTGCCTTTTGCCACACTTCCGGTGATGTCAGGGGGTGTGGCATATGCAAATAAGTTATGCTAATGAGCTCCTGCACCTCTTTTTCTATGAAATGACCCCTGAACTTACCCAATGCCTTGATGAAGCAGAAATGGGATCCTTGGAAGCCTTTAAGACCACACAATGCACCCTGCTTTCTTGATCTTGACCAACCTAATATTTACCCCAAACTCTGGTTAAACCATAGAATTTTGGCCAAATGCTAGAGTGTACAGTACAGTGTACAGTAGAGTGGCATATGACATCACTTCCATATCATGTCAGAAGTGATGTCATTATGTTCAAGATGTCAATCACTTCTTCTCCAAACAGTAAGTACCTGCCTCCCCATCTCCTTACTGGTGTCTGGGGTATGTTGGTGGAGAAGTGAGGTTTGATTGGTTTTCTAAATGTCTCCAGCCTGCTTCCTGTCATCAGTGTAACATTATACTTGTGGCAATACAGGAGTATCTGGAAACATTTCCACAGAAATCACAGGGAGGGGGGGGATGATTATACTAAAACTTTTAGCCAATCATAGTAGATGAGCCCCAATCTGTCTGGATCTTTTCAGTCATATGTTAGCACCCCCAGATCACATATTTAGGTTCTCTTCTACTAGCTCTTTCCAAGGGACTAATTGTTCCTTAATCTTTTATTCAGGATCATTCCAGAAATTCATTTATTAGAGAAGAAATGTCTGAATAAAAGCCTTTGAATCAAAATAGGAAGATGCCTGTAATGGTTAGGTGTTTATTACATTTTATATGTGCCCAAATAAGGGAGCTCTACCTCATGAAAGCTTATACTGGAATAAATTTTGTTAGTCTATAAATTGCCTCCTGTTTCATTTTGCTCCTCACAGTTACCCATCTGGAATATTTCAGATTTGTAGTTGACATTTTCTCATGGTAATTGTTGATACCTGTTGGCAGATTTTATATATAATTTATGATTATGCAAATTGATGCGACTTATCATTGTGGATAATGCACATGAGTGTTTGGTCCTACATCGAGTGGTGTAGGATTTCATTTAGAAATAGTGTATAAAAAGGGGTTTTGAACTCTAGAGAGAAGGCACTTTGCACAAACAGCCAAGGAAGAGAACAAACATTTTTGTAGACTGTTTCAAGCTTTGCTTACAGTTCCTACGCCATTTGGGGACGCAAAGGCAATGCCACCCCACACAGGAAAGTAAAATGGCAAGCAGTATAATGCCCATGTGTAAATATGTGATTTACCCACATGTGAAATGTTTTTATAGTTCTGATTTCACAATCTAAAAAAGCATATTAGAACTGGTAAAAGGTAAAGGTAAAGTTTCCCTTGTTCGAAAGCCAGTCGAATCCGACTCTAGGGTTGCGGTACTCATCTCCGTTTCAAAGCCGAAGAGCCAGCACTGTCCGAAGACGTTTCCGTGGTCATGTGGCTGGCATGACTAAACACCAAGGCGCATGGAACACTGTTACCTTCCTACCAAAGTGGTACCTATTTATCTACTTGCAATTTCTTGCTTTCGAGCTGCTAGGTTGGCAGGAGCTGGAACTAGAGATGGGAGCTCACTCCATCATGCGGCACCCGGGTCTCGAACTGCTGAACTACTGACCTTCCACAGCCTGCAGTTCAGCGTCTTAACCACTTGAGTCACCGCAGCTCCTATTAGAACTGGAGGGAGGTGCAAAAAAGTCTCATTAAAAGGACCTGTATGCAATACATAATGAATGTATATGGTTCATTGCAAACAAAAAGTGGACACTGCCCAGATATCTTGGAAAGAGAATTAATTGTATTAATGGGATATGTGGATGATCATGATACTGATTACTAGCCGGGGAAATAAAAAGTGTAGCCTCTGGGCTGAATCCAGCAGAGTGTTCTTTTTTTGGGGGGGGTAGTGCCTACGGAGCATGACTTTTACAGCTTCCCCCTTCCCGTGGCAACCTTAACTGCTCTCCCAAAACTTGAGTCAGGCCTCTGGAACAGGATGGGGGGCATTTCAGGGTGCCATGTGAGTGAGGAAACTGAACATCACACTGTTTGGGAGCCAGGATTCTGCTGGTCCATAGAGTGGTATACTGAATCCAACCCTGTATCCAGTGAGATGCAGTTTACCAGACTGTAGAGAGAAACAACATGGAATGGCCATCGTCAGAAATGCCCTCTTTGGAAATCTATCAAAGCACCTGACCTTATGCTCTCTAAAATGTTTTGGACTAGGTTGATGTTAGGTGAGACCCAGTAAGTACCAGTTTTGTGCCAATGATTGATGTGTCATTTATTAATTTGCATCATATTTTCCTCCCCAACAGGGACCCAAAGTGGTTTACTGCATTCTTCCTCCTCCAGTTTGTCTTCACAGCAGCCCTGTACAGTAGATTAGGCTGACAGTGTGTGATTGGCCCAAGGTCACCTGGAAAGCTTCCATGGCAGAGAGGGGATTTAATCTAGATCTCCCAGATCCTTGTTTAGCATCCTAACCACTACAAAATGCTAGGTATTTCATATTCCCAGATTCAGAGCTCCAGTTCCAAAGCCTCATCTTCTCTATTCAGTTCATGTTGGAGTTAGCCAGGTGTACTTTTTCATTGTTGTGCTTGCAGTTGTCCTAACATTAGAGAGAAGGAGGGAAACTTTTACTTAGGACCCTGTATTGGCAACTGGAGAATTTGGATGTGTGATAATCAGATAATAAAATGCACAATTGGGCAGCATTACAAAAAACACCTGAGAGCCAGTTTGGTGTAGTGGTTAAGTGTGTGGACTCTAATCTGGGAGAACTGGGTTTGATTCCCCACTCCTCCACCTGCAGCTGCTGGATGACCTTGGGCAAGCCATAGTTCTGTCAGAGCTGTTCTCTCAAGGACAGTTCTGGAAAGAGCTCTCTCAGCCCCACCTACCTTACAGGGAGTCTGTTGTGGGGAGGGGAAGGTTAAGGAGTTTGTAAGCCACTCTGAGACTCTGAGTGAAGGGCGGGGGTATTATATATCCAATCTCCTTCTCCTCCTCCTAACACGTGCAGGAGGCAAATTCTTTATTCTGTTCCAATGTATTTGAAAAAATGTGCATCCACACGAAAGCTCATACTTTGAATAAACCTTTGTTGGTCTTAAAGGTTACACTGGACTCTAAATTTGTTCTTTATTCCAATGTGTGGCTCCCAAAGCATTTAGAGTCATTAGCTCTTCATCAGGAGTATGCAAAATAACTTTAACTGGATCCTCAAAGGGTTAGTACCAGCTACAACCTAAAACAAATACTTGGGTAGTAGTAGCTATTTTCCAGGCAATTTAGTTAAGAAAGTTATCTCGTATTTACTTAATGACGAGCTTCTCTTGCATTCCCTTCTCATCCCTCAAAACACATTGAGATCTGGAATAAACTTGTCTGGTGCACCAAATAGTTTATTTTCACAAGAGGAAGAAAAATAAAACACGTAACATGTCCCCCTCTATTTTCCTCTCTTATTTTTAGCATGCACTTAATTCAAGTGGACTCTGTCCAGCGTTGGATGGAAGACTTGAAGCTTATGACCGATTGTGAATGCATGTGTGTTCTTCAGTCTAAACCGATCAGCATAGAAGAAGATGCTGAGAGTGAATGTTCCCTTTCATCACAGCACCATGCATGTGACAACTTGCAATTGTTGCTGAAAAGAGCTTGGATTATAAGTACTGAGCTGACCAGGATAGTTCAAAAACTAGAGAAGAACAGATGGCAGAGAGTTCATAACATGACAGTAAGAGTCAACTGCCATGTCCGTTCAATGATAAGTGAATACAACACATTCACAAGGAATTCTTGGGATGAAATGCACCAGGTATTTACATTTATTTATTTAAAATGTTTATTAGCTGTCTTCTACTTTGTGGATCTCAAGGTGGCTTGTGTGTATGTGTCAAGTGCCATCAAGTTGCCTCTGATTTATGGTAGCCACATGAATTAATGACCTTCAAAATGTCCTATTGTTAAAAGCCTTGCTCAAGTCTTGCAAGCTGAGAGCCATGGCTGCCTACATTGAGTCAATCCATCTCGTGTTGGGTCTACCTCTTTTCCTGCTGCCTTCAATTTTCCTTGCATTATTACTTTTGACTTCTCATAATGTGACCAAAGCATGATAGCCTCAGTTTGGTCATTTTAGCATCTAGGGAAAGTTCAAGTTAGATTTGATCTGGAACCCACTTATTTGTGTTTTTGGCCGTCTATAGTATCCATTAAACGGTTCTCCAACATCACATGGGGAAAAAAAAGAAAGCAACTATTATAAAAACACATAAAATACAACAATTTAAAGTCTTCATCTAGGACTAGAGAGGTGTATTCGGCATTTCTGAGCTGAATTAATACCCGAATCATGCCTTTTTGGCTTGATTCAGGCATTAGTTAAGGTGATCTGATTTGGCTTACCGATAAACCCAATCCTCTGATCTGATTTGGCTTACCAATAAGAGAATCCTGAATTAATTCAGGAATCCCAGATTATTAATTTTTTTTTGGTTCCATTATATCCTATGGGGCCATTATACTCAATGGCAAATCTCCTAGGGTATATTCAGTGGGCTGGGGGGGAGTGAGTTTGAGGTAGAGTTACCAAATTTGCCTTGTAGCTGGTGGCGCCAGCTTTAATTCTATGGGTACTCAAAGAGGGTGCCCCCATCCTCCATTGTTTCCAATGGTGTGGAAAAAAGCAAGGCAGGCATACAACAAGCCCAGCAGATTCTCCCAGAGAATCTCTGCAGTAGGAAGTGAAGTGTGAGGAGGGGGCATATTTGCAAGGCCAGCAGCAGAACCACTGCAATGTGCCCAGCAGAACCAGCGCCACTGTGGCAGTGCCAAAACCCAACAGGACTAAGGTCAAATGAGGAGGCAGGGTTTGTGCGTGGCCCCTTCAGTATCTCCTCAGAGTTGCTCCTGAAGGAGAGCTGAACTGCCCAGTTTGTAGGTCTTGGGGGATCCTGAGATCTAAGGAGATCCTAGGAGAAGGGACACCAAAGCAGAGGACGTGACGTGGAAGCTCTCCCTAGGTGGCAGCTGTGGGGATTGAGCTTTCAATGTCTGCCCTGAAGCACAGACCGATGCAGGAGCCATCTTGGCATGCAGCCATGAATGCCCAAGAGTGAGAGAAGTGAGCAGATGAAGTGAAGCTGTTTCAGAGAATTTTCCAAATGATAAGTTTGTTACCTGATTAAAGAAGATCTGATCTAAGAGATTTACTTGAGAATCCAAACCTGAGCAGCCAGGCTGTGGGAGAAAGAGGGGTGGGAGGCTAAAAGTCCGCCCCCGTCTTTGAAGAAAGTGGCTTTCACTTTAATTGGAGAGGGAGGGACTGCTTTCCTGGTAAGGAAGCTATCTGGTATGAATGTGAATCCCCTCTGATACTACAGCTTTCCTGAGGGGTCCAGTTTAATATACAAGCAAAAGTCTTGGTCTAGAATTGATATGTGCTGGATCTCAGTGAGTTTGATGAGGAATGTAGGAGAAGCATATATCTTACGAAAGACTTTTGCAGATCATAATCCTGTATTCTTGAAAATGACAGGCATTTCTAAGAAATTTAGTTGGAAGCTGAATATACAGCACTTGAAAAATGAGAAATTTGTGATGGAGACAAAAAAGGAACTGAACATTTCTTCAAACAAAATATTTAACTGGACATCTCCATAAATACACTTTGGGATGCGAGCAAGGCCTTCTTCAGAGGAATGGCAATCAAATCCACCCATAGCTTCTTTAATTTTCTGTTTCTTTCTCTCCTTCCCACCCACCAGCCAGCCTACTTTTATCTGTCCCCTGCTTTTAGTTTTCTTTAATTCCGCCCCCCCCCCCAGCAGCCTTTCCTTGGGAAAAATCAGTCCAAGTTGCATGGTGATGGCTGAGATGGGCTCAGTTATACAAGAGGGAACCTTCAGGGAGTTGTGGGGGGTGCCTCACTTTTCTCTGTATCCCTTCCCAAAAGTATTTCCTCTTTCCCTCCTTCTGGCAGCCCCATATTCTCCCCTTTCCCTTCTTCCTTCTCCTTTCCACCCACCAACTAGCCTATCTTTCATCTGTGCTCCACCTTCAGCTATATTTATTATTAATTTACTTCCTTTATATCCTGTTTTTTTTCTCAAAAATGGGAACCTAAAGAAACTTACATCATTCTCCTTTCCTCAATCAGTCCCATGAGTTAGGTTAGGCTGAGAGTGTATGACTGGCCCAAAGTCACCCAATGAGCCTCCACAGCAGAGTGGGGTTTTGAACCTAGGTCTCCCAGATCCTAGTCTGAAACTCTAACCACTATACCACAGGCAGTTCTGGGTGAGTCATGCAAGTCATATGGCATTGAGTTATCCTGTGGTTGCTGCCAGGCCTGACCCTAATGAGTTCTACCTTAGTCGAAGGCCAAAACAGCCCTGGAAAGGGCCCTTCCCCCTCCCTCTGCCTTTTCCTGACAGAAACCAAGGCTTGAAGGCTGGCAACACTGTTGTGGTTACCCAGCAATGGACTCTGAATGTCTTCATTTTGTAAGGCTACAGATGCTCTTTTTATCATTTGGTGATGGTTATTATCCTTTTTTTAAATTTCAGAATCTTCTCCAAATCTGGAGCTTTTCTGATGTTTGTAGAAAAATATGTGTTGTCTGCCCAGGGCCCCAGTCTGCATTTAAGTATCCATAGATAGGGTTAGGTTGAGAATTAGATATATTGACATAAAATATTTGTATGTCTTTTCCCCCTATAGTATGAAAAAGTGTTAGTGGAGAAATGTTCGGAACTTACTACCGTTACTGAAAGGTAATATTAAATGTCAAAAGTTACATCATATTTTTACTTTTCTTTATTTATAAAAGAATTCTGCCAATCTCCCCATAGAACCTGCTCAGACCTACCCTCTAAGCTTTTTCAAGCATTTAATCTAGATTCTAGATCCCGCCAAAGTCACCAGTTCCAGCAATTGACTTCAAGGAGGAAAGCAAACATTCCTGTCCTGGATTCTGAAAAAGCCACTCTCATTTCTAGCCTTTTCCTGACACTACTTTGCACATACAGCTTACTATGGGGAGCTGCCTTCTTAAATTTCAAGTAGGGATGGGCACAAACTGGTGGGCACAAAGTTTGTCATGAATTTTGGCTGGTTCATGGTTCGAGAAGTGATGTTTGTGAACTGAAGAACTACAACATACTTCCACGGATTTTGGTGCAGTTCATGAAAAAGCCACAGGGAGCAGAAAGCAGGATTTATGGCTTGGAGCCATTTAAACCAAACCCCTTTGTTTGGAAACCCCTGCTTTCTGCTCCTTACAAAAAGCCACAGGGAGCAGAAAGCAGGGGTTTAAACTTTAAATGGCTCACACACCAATACAAACTGGGTTGGTTTGCGAACCAACCTCCTGGTTCATATGGGTTTGTGGTTCGGTTGGTGGTTTAGCCATGAACCATAAATCGAACTGCAAAAATATGGTTTGTGCCCATCCCTAATTTCAAGCATAGAAACATCCTATCACAATTGCTTCAGTGTATTATCTCCTGCCTAGTTAAGCTGCATAATTGTTGTTTTGCCTCACCTTGTGGCAGCATCGCCCAACCACAGCTGTTTATTCTTCAGTTTCATTTGTTTGATAATTTAATGCTTATATTACTGTATTATTTGAATATTATCTTCAATATGATTTCAGATGTTCATGGGAAGCCTATTTGAACTTCCCTTATTAATATTAACTTAGTAACAATGTCTTTCTTCCCCATGAATTTAGACATATAGATTATCTAAACTTTACACTGAACTCAGATCTGAATTTTGATCTAGGCATTTTAAATTTATTTAAGGAATTTATTTGCCACCTCTTCAGGGTCCTGTTTGAGGCAGCTTACAAGATACCAGAAAGTCATAAAATATGTCATATATGATTTTTAATGGTATATATATCTGCATCACATCATAAAACAGTATTTCCAAATAATTCAGAACTGCTCCAATTTTGCCTTATTCAGGATAGATATTTGTTTTAGAGCATGTACATTTAAATTTCAACACCTTACACACTCATGGGTGGGGACAGTCTTGGTGATTATAGAGTCCTGGGCAAAAATCAAAGATCGGGTAACCACACCTCACCTCACACCTCCAGCACACTCTGAACAAGAATAAAGGGCCCAATTTCCACAAAGTATTTCCCTTCAAAAATGCACCATAGTTCGTATTTTGACTCTCTCTCTCTCTCACACACACACACAAAAAAAACCCCTTTATTGGCATGAAAGCACAAAATATAATGGAAACATGAAAAACACAAAACATCATGCCACAGGGCAGGCAAAATGGTAGGGAACTGGATATAGGCTGTGAGGCTTTTGTGAGCTATTTTGCAGATAGTCTTGTCACTCCGCCATGACCTGCCAGCCACATTTGAGACAGTGAGTGAACTTGAGGCTCCATATACATCTTCTGGTCCCATTCTGGATTATTTCGATTAACTCAGCCTTGAGGAGGTCAACAGATTGATCTCAACGGTACGCTCAACCACATGCAGCCTGGATCCGTGCCCCTCCTGCCTAATTAAAGGTGTCCACAAGGGGTTTCAAGGAGCCCTCAGGGATATTATCAACAAGTCCTTCTCTGAGGGGCTGTTCCCGGGGGCTCTTAAGGTAGCGATGGCCCATCCTGTCTTGAAAAAACCATCTCTAGATCCAGCCGAATTGGCCAACTATCAGCCGGTTTCTAATTTGCCCTATTTGGGCAAATTAATAGAGAGGGTGGTGGCGATACAATTGCAGAGCTTTCTGGATGACGCTTCCACGCTTGATCCCTACCAGTCCGGTTTGCGCCCGGGCCACGGGACAGAGATGGCACTGGTCACCCTCATGGATGACCTCTGGAGGCATCTGGATTGGGGTGGGACAGCAGTGCTTGCCCACTGCCTCACTGACGTGGGAATTTGGGGGCTTGCTTTACAATGGCTTGTCTCCTTTCTCCAAGGTCGGTGACAAAGGGTGGCTCTCAAGGAGCAACTGTTCCAAAGGCACCCACTAGTTTGCAGGGTGCCACAAGGGGCAGTACTCTCCCCGATGTTATTTAACATCTGCATGCGCCTCCTTGCCCAGATTGCCCGGAGGCATGGGGGGGGGTGTCACCAATATGCGGATGACACCCAGCTCTATCTGTTGTTGGGTGGCCAGTCGGGCTCTACCCTGGAAGACCTGTACCAGGCGCTTCAGGACATGGTGGGATGGCTGAGACTTAGCTGATTGAAATTGAATCCAATGAAGGTCCTGTGCCTCAGTCAGAGTGGTTCTGGAGAGGGAATCCCATTACCTGCCTTCAATGGGGCACCGTTGGTGCCAGCGTCGCAGGTCTGGAATTTGGGAGTGCTCCTGGATGCCTCCATAACAATGTAGGCCCAGGTAGCAGCCACTGCCAAGGCAGCCTTTTACCATCTTCGGCTGATTAGGCAGTTGGTTCCCTTCCTCGAGAGCAAAGATCTGGTGTCAGTGATCCATGCTATGGTCACCTTGAGGTTGGACTACTGTAATGCTCTCTACATGGGGCTGCACTTGGGGCAACTTCAGAAGCTGCAGGTGGTGCAAAACGTGGTGGCCAGGCTGTTGATGGGCCTCCCAATGCGGGAGCACATCCAGCCTGTGCTAAAGGCATTGCAGTGGCTGCCAATAGCTTTCCGGATCCTCTTCAAGGTACTGGTTTTGACCTTTAAAGCCCTATATGGTCAGGGACCTGTCTACCTGAGGGACCGCCTTTCCCCGTATGTCCCCCAGAGAGCACTGAGATCTGGGATACAACATCGACTGACCCTTCCTAGCCCTAAAGAGGCCAGGTTGACAACAACTAGGTCTAGAGCATTTTTGCTAGCTGCACCAGTATATTGGAACGAGCTCCCTAGTGAGATCCAGACCCTGCAAGATCTCCAGCAATTTCGCAGGGCCGTGAAGACGGAGCTTTTCTGCCGGTCATGTCAGTGAGAGCGACGGTATGCCAGCCAAGCCTTGCCGACCCGCCAAGGCATATACTCTGTATGGGTAGATAACAATGTGGTCGATGTCTAGTTGCAATGATATACCAAGTCGTTTTTGCTTATATTTATTGTATTTATGTAAAGCTGTTTTATCTATGTTGGTTTCATTAATGCTGTGAGCCGCACTGAGCCGCTTCAGCGGAAGGGCGGGATAAAAGCTGAATAAATAAATAAAACACGGGAAAATACTAAGATGCATCAGTCACTTACACTTGGCTATTCAAGCCTCGTCTTCTAATTGCGTAATATAAAAATTTTGGAACAGCCTCCATTATTTTACAATTAGAATGAAACAGAAGAATGTGAACAACTGAATCATCAAAATGCCAGCTCTTACCCTCTAGAAGTGGAGTAATAAAACGAGATCGGATATCCCTATCAAGGGGGCAAGTATGGTGTGTATAGTGGATTCTATATCTTTTAGAGAGCAAGGGAGTATTTTGTCTCCATTTTAGCACCATCATTTTCTGCTACACCCTCTAGCTGTTAGAGCATTACCCCAGCATGGGGCCTGGCAATAGCCATGTATGAGCAATAGGTAAGACCACTTTTGTTCATATGCCATGTGAAAGTCATCTTATTACATGCAGGGAAATCCCCATTGTATTCAGTGAAGATGAGGCCTATATAAGAAAATAAAAACTACAGCCTTGGATAAAGAAGTTGATGTTTTAATGTGCTATTTAACTGAGATGTCACATTTCTTTTAAGGTGCATACAAATTGAAGATGAACAGATATTAAAGAGTATGAAAATTTGCATTAATGATGCACTAACTACAGTCGCACATTATTTTGGCCAATTGATAGAACTAGCTTTAACACATGAAATAAAGGTTAGTAAATCTTTCATAATCTATGCACAGCTTCATTTATCAATACTTTATAAATACATGTTTTCAGTTGTTTTTTGTTAGTCATCAAGTCACAACTGATTTATGGTGACCCCATGGACTTTTAAAGACAAGAGACATTCAGAGGTGGTTTGCGATTGCCGGCCTCCATGGCATAACCTTGGTATTCCTTGGTGGCCTCCCATCCAGATAGTGACCAGGTCTAACCCTGCTCAGCTTCCAAGATCTGATGAGATAAGGCTAGCCTGGGCTAACAAACCAGGGCCAGTTTTGTACTGCTTTATCCTATGGAGCTGCGGTGGCTCAAGGGGTTAAGACGCTGAACTGCAGGCTGTGGAAGGTCAGTAGTTCAGCAGTTCGAGACCCAGGTGCCGCATGACGGAGTGAGCTCCCGTTTCTAGTTCCAGCTCCTGCCAACCTAGCAGTTCGAAAGCAAGAAATTGCAAGTAGATAAATAGGTACCACTTCGGTGGGAAGGTAACAGCATTCCGCGCGCCTTGGTGTTTAGTCACGCTGGCCACATGACCATGGAAACGTCTTCGGACAGCGCTGGCTCTTCGGCTTTGAAACGGAGATAAGCACCGCAACCCTAGAGTCGGATTTGACTGGCTTTCGAGCAAGGGAACCTTTACCTTTACCTTTATCCTAATCTACCAGAACTCATCCTCATATTTTGGGGTATGTGAAATTTTCCACATGGTAAATGTTTGGTATGCTCGACTCCAAGTTTACTAGATATGTATGGTATGTGTTCCTTTTTTAAAAAATTAATATTATGTCACACAATACTTGGAGTAAAACCAAAGTATTTTATGAAGTTGTTCTAAAAGTCCCTTTGTAACCACTATTGAGCATCATTGTTAGAGAAATACAGTGGAAGAGTTTAATAACTGTATGTTAAATATATAATAAAATTCTCATGTTTATCTTTAAAATTACTGTGTGCCATACTTTGTAGTGCTTTTTGTTTATTGCTTTAAGAGCTGTATAATTTTCTATAGATGTAGTAAAATAGTGTACATTAAATTCTAGGTATTGGCACAATTTTATTTGTGATACTATTTATTGTTTTATTCATAATACAAGCTCAATGGATTTAGGAAACTGGAAGGCAGAGTTTTCCCCCCAAACAATAATTCTCCTGCCCAGTTATAATACAACACTTAAAGTGATGTAAGCAAAGCCCTAGACAGTGCGCTTTCTTTTGGAATGGAAATAAATGAAATGTATTGTGGTATGTGTCAAACAGAACCTTGTAAGGGAAATCGATTCATCGGATAATCTGTATTCTGCTGAATCCTCGACAAACAACTTGTTCAGTCTTACCCAGGAAGGTGCTCATTTGTGTCGCATCATTGCGAAGGTAAGCCAAACTTGGATTCTCACTCATTCTCAAAATCACTTGGATTTTTTGTAGATTCAGGTGGGTAGCTGTGTTTGTAACAGCAGAACAAAGTTTGAATCCAGTGGCACCTTTACGACCAACAAAGTTTTATTCAAGGTATAACCTTTCGAGTGCAAGCACACTTCTTCAGATACAGTGGCCTAGTTCAGACTGGCAATTTGAAGCACTAGGGAGTCATGGCAAAGAAGACCCGGAACAGACCGGGAACAGCTTGTTCGCGGTATTCCTGTTCACACTGCTGCGAATGAAGCGGGAAGATACCATGGAGGAAGCGCAAGGGAGCGTTCACACTGTCGGTCGGCCCCTGGCAGGCTGTTAGCGGCTGTTTCTGCACTCTGCTGCATGCGCCTATGCACATGGGTGCCTGCCACGGAAACAGCCAGCGCCTATCATCAATGACTGCGGGTTGTTCCCGCCACTGGACTCAAACTTTGTTCTGCTACTTTAGACCAACATGGCCACCCACCTGAATCTATCCACATCAATTATTGCAATTGCTAAGGTAGAGAGTGCCATCCTAGGATTGGTTTCCTGATTGTAAACCCCATAGGGCGGTGGTAGGCAAACTGCGGCTCTAGAGCCACATGCGGCTCTTTGGCCCCTTGAGTGTGGCTCTTCCGCTGTAGGCGCTGATGGCCTATTCCCTCCATTGTTCTCTATGGTGGGAAAAAAGTTACTTTTTTCCCACCATAGAGAACAATGGAGGGAATAGGCCATCAGCGCCTACAGCGGAAGAGCCACACTCAAGGGGCCAAAGAGCCGCATGTGGCTCTAGAGCCGCAGTTTGCCTACCACCGCCCTATGGGGTTTACAATCAGGAAACCAATCCTAGGATGGCACTCTCTACCTTAGCAATTGCAATAATTGATGTGGATAGATTCAGGTGGGTGGCCATGTTGGTCTAAAGTAGCAGAACAAAGTTTGAGTCCAGTGGACCTTTAAGACCAACAACGTTTTAGTCAAAGTATAAGCTTTTGTGTGCAAGCACACTTCTTCAGATAGAGTGAAACAGAATTCCCTCAACCATTACATATAGAAAGGGGGGTTAGTTGCCAGGAAGGGCCAATTTGTTCAAGATAGAGACAGAAACAAAATTGGAACTAACCAGTCCATACATATAGGTGAGTGGTAATTTATCATACAGCATAATGAAGGTGTTTAACAGATTCAAGGATCAAACAAGAAAATAAGCTTAGGATATATGGTAACCATTTGTTTGGGTTCAGTTGTGGGGCAAAAACAGTGAAGGAAATAAATACGTCAAAATTGGAGATTGATGTATCCTTAATTATGGGATGGTGGGAGTAATTAATTGAAACCATGCCATCTGTCTCCTCCATGCTGTTTGGATCAGCTTGGGTATATCTGAAATAACCTCAAGTACTCCTGAAATTCTGGGAAGTGACAAAAATTTATCTTCCAGAATTTCAGGAGTGTTTCAGTTTTGGAGGTACAGGAGAGAAGGAAGAAGAGAGAGGACTCTCATATCGATCATCAGTTGTTAGTTGGCATCTTCTGTCCCTTTAAATTTTGTTTTCTATGGGAAGATTTGTCCCCAGTTTTTGGAAGCCCTCTAAATTTGAAAGTACTACCATCACAAACTAACAGCTGACTGACCTGCTTCCTGGGGAGGGAGAAATAGATGCATTTTGTTTTAATTTGGGATCTTTTTAAAGGCATGGTTTTCAGATTCCATAATTCCTGAAACTGAAATCTGTGGTCCGGCCCCCCCATCATGAAATGGTAACAGAGTCTTTGCAGTTTGTTCGAACTGTACTGACTGTCCATTGGGGAATGAAGGGGGGGGGGGTTGATTCCAAAAACTCCTTCCTTCTAAACAGATCCTGTTGTTTTAAATTGCTGACCGTCTGTTATGTGGAATTAATCCTGCACATAATAATACTTGGTAGTGATACAGCTCATGTCAATATTTAGTTTAATATTTTGCTTCCTTTATTGCAGTCATCCTACAACAGTTTTGTAAAATAGGCCAGTATTATTTATTCTGAGAGAGTAGCAGCGTTTCAAATCCAACTAATTAATTCTTGGCTTAAATGAGATCTGCTAGCTCACATGGTTCACCAAGATGATGCAGCAGCACATTCTAGCTACTTCATGGGAGAATGTCTGTTCCTTTCTTAGCACTTTCCCTCCCAAAGACTTCAGTTTATTTAGTGAAAGGTGATAAGCTATCATGTTAATTACAGTACCAAGCTCTTGTTGGAGGAGTAGTAAAGTGCATAACCATTTGTCACCAGAGGATGTAATCTTCATTACAAATAGATACATGACTCTTTTGAAATTTATTAATCAGTTTAATTCAAAACTCTTTCTCTGAATCATAAATGTTTTCCACATATTTTTCATTCGAGAAGGTCCGTTGATTTCTGGGCGGGCGGGCTGGAAGACCTTGAGAGGCGAGGGGCTCGCTCTGGTCATCCCCTGCTTTGGTGGAGGAGATGGGCTCTAATTTCTGACAGTGGGCAGGAGTGTGGTGCCACTTGGTGTACAGAGATAGGGCCAGGTCAGGCATGGGCTCAGTGTCTTCATAACTGCTGAGTCGGTCGCAAAAGGAAGGGTTCTTGAAGGCCCCCTTGCTGTGGAAGGAGCCAGCAGCCTGCCTGCGGGACAGGGACTTCTGGCTCTTTTTGGGTCTTGCCTCATTTTCAGATTCCATAATTCCTGAAACTGAAATCTGTGGTCCGGCCCCCCCATCATGAAATGGTAACAGAGTCTTTGCAGTTTGTTCGAACTGTACTGACTGTCCATTGGGGAATGAAGGGGGGGGGGGTGATTCCAAAAACTCCTTCCTTCTAAACAGATCCTGTTGTTTTAAATTGCTGACCGTCTGTTATGTGGAATTAATCCTGCACATAATAATACTTGGTAGTGATACAGCTCATGTCAATATTTAGTTTAATATTTTGCTTCCTTTATTGCAGTCATCCCACAACAGTTTTGTAAAATAGGCCAGTATTATTTATTCTGAGAGAGTAGCAGCGTTTCAAATCCAACTAATTAATTCTTGGCTTAAATGAGATCTGCTAGCTCACATGGTTCACCAAGATGATGCAGCAGCACATTCTAGCTACTTCATGGGAGAATGTCTGTTCCTTTCTTAGCACTTTCCCTCCCAAAGACTTCAGTTTATTTAGTGAAAGGTGATAAGCTATCATGTTAATTACAGTACCAAGCTCTTGTTGGAGGAGTAGTAAAGTGCATAACCATTTGTCACCAGAGGATGTAATCTTCATTACAAATAGATACATGACTCTTTTGAAATTTATTAATCAGTTTAATTCAAAACTCTTTCTCTGAATCATAAATGTTTTTCACATATTTTTCATTTGAGAAGGTCCGTTGCTCTGGGTGGGTGGGCTGGAAGACCTTGAGAGGCGAGGGGCTCGCTCTGGTCAGCCCCTGCTTTGGTGGAGGAGATGGGCTCTAATTTCTGACAGTGGGCAGGAGTGTGGTGCCACTTGGTGTACAGAGATAGGGCCAGGTCAGGCATGGGCTCAGTGTCTTCAAAACTGCTGAGTCGGTCGCAAAAGGAAGGGTCCTTGAAGGCCTCCTTGCTGTGGAAGGAGCCAGCAGCTTGCCTGCGGGACAGGGACTTCTGGCTCTGTTTTTTGGGTCTTGCCTCACTGGCAGACTGATAGAGGAAGGATTTCTCCGGAGGCCGGTCAGCAAAAAGCTTGGCACTTGGCCGGGAACCATGAAGCTTCTTCTTGGTAGCATGCAACTGGAAGGAGAGGTAAGCAGCCGCCTCCATCTTCTTCTGCAACTCCATGTTGAGGATGGTCACGCGGTGATGCCTCCTTTTCAGTATCTCCAGGAACTTCCTCTCTCTGCTCTTTGGGAAGGTCAATTGACAAGGTAGACTTAGAAGTTGTTTTTGGCTGCCAGTCACTTCAATTGTAGGGTGTCCGTGAAAGATAGGTTTCACATGAAAAGCGTATATTTCCTTTACAAAGATGCAGGTCCCAATGAGAAATGGTATTTAATATCAGTTAAGGAAAGTGTGGGTCTGAAATACATTGGCTTAGCACCTACTATTTAGGGCCTCTGTTAGAAGAAACTAAAGAACTACAGAGTTACTAGAATTCTTTGGTGGGGATCCAACCAGCTTTTCCACAGGTGTAAAGGGAGGAGGATGGCCAAAAATGCTATGCTGGAGATCGTGGACAGAAGTCATGTGTGATGAAGGCTTTGTAGTTAGGAAGAGATCGGCCCATTGACCGTATAATTCCCTACTCATCTAGGGTTGTATTCCAGAGACACAAAGACAAGAATTTCCTTCATGTATCAGGCCAGCATTCTGTCTAGTCCAGTGTTCTGTCCTCAGCTGGGGTCAGTCTTTAGAAGCTCAGAAGCAAGGGAGTAATGGTATCCCTTCTTGCCAGTTTGGTACTCAGAGATATATTACGGTATGACCATGGAAGGCCATTCACTGATCTATCTATATATCTAATACTGAAGTCGCCCCTGGTGTGCGGATACCTAAATCTGTGCACCGGGGGCAGCTGGGGGGGAGGGAGAGTACAAAAATCTGAAACCTGTAAAAAAATACAGGGGATACTTAAATCCCCAAAAAAGTACAACCGCTTGCTCTGGGCATGCGCAGGGAACTCGCTCACTGAGCCGCGGGAACAGCGCGAGGGAAGCCACCACATCACTAACCATCCCCGCTGCTGCTCCAACTGCCACAGCAACAACAACCGTCCCTGCACAGAGAATGGACTTACCCTTGGGAACTGTGACTGCCGTGCGAGGAAACTCCGGGTACTTCAGGGACCTCGCCTCAACACTGCCCCCCCTCCATTTCTTCTGTCTGTTTGGAATTAGTGGCGAGGACGCCAAGCGCAGCTCTAAGCCCGGCTGCACTTCGCTCGTTTCATCTTTCTGCTGGTGAAGGGCCCTGGTCTCCTCCCGCTAATGCTCCGCTCGCCTGGCAGCCA